CACACATCCCTGCCAAGGCAGCCTGAGTCACTGGGCTGGGCTTTTGGGAAAGCAGAAAGCAGTCTGCGGGGCAGTCCCAGGAGGAAGAGGAAGATAAATGCTTGAAACCAAGTGTCAAGATCCTGCGTGCATGCACAGGCATGCGACAGCCCTGCCAAAGCTGCCATATATCTATAAAGTTGTTCAAGTGACACATGTCCCATCATTTCCTGGAGTGATTTACCCAGCTCATCCTCCCGCAAGACAAGCTGGGCTGGGGCTGCATGAACCAGGGCAGTACTCTGAGCTGGTGCTGGAGACCTCAGCACTGCAGCCTAAACATCCCGTCCTCTGGTATGGAGCTTCCTTTAATTAATAAACATTAAACACAATATGCCTTTATTCCCATGATTTTGAACTATGTGCTCTTTCCCTGAAGAGCTGGGCAAGTTCTTCAAACGGATCTCAGCTCCTTTCTCTGCCTGCAGATCTCTGAGATGCCTGTCAGTCTTCAAGAGATGAAAGACTGCAGCCCAGGCAAGCTGCCCAAATTTGCTGATGGCATCTAATTGTGGCCTGCAGGCTGAGCAAGCAGCACTGATTTCTCTCTGTTGATTAGGCAATAATTTGAGTTTATTATTTTTTCTTGTTTGCTTTCTTCTCAAAATGACAGATGGTAGAAAAATGCTGTGGATGGCCTTGAAGAGATTGACGGCCACACAAAATCATTCTCCAGCTTCATTTGGGCCCTGTGCAGGCAGCAGGGCAGAGGCAGCTTTGGGAAGAGCTGGGCAGATTCAGCTCGGGAGGACTTCTGTATGGCAGAGGAACCAGCTAGCGATCCAGACATACCAACACACCAAGGAGGGTCAGCTGGGAGTAAGACAGCAATTGAACCCAGACAACAAGGGAACACCAGGCCATGGGAGAGCGTTGGGGTACAGGCTCCTTCCTGCAGCCCCGGGGAAGCACTGGGAGGTCGGGTGTTGTGCTTGTTTCAGCAAGGATCCAGACCAGCACCCCTTCCCTCCTGTCCATGCTAGGGCCGAGGAAAAGAGAACCCCATGTGCCTAGCCCTTATCCTGCACAGGCAGAGTTTCAGCCAGCTTTGGCTGGACTGGGGTCACTTGGTGGGGACACCTAAATCAAGTGGATGTTGCTGTTGTCCTGAGGACAGGCACTCCCTTGAGCGATGCTGCTCAGGGCCCACCCACTATGGTTTTGGGTCTCCCATTACACATGGTTTCAGCAGGGTGATCTCATCTGTATGCACCAGGAAAGAAGAGATCTCCAGCTAGAAAGAAGCTGAAATCCCTTAACAATACCTGAGCCGTAATTGCTAGAAGCACTGTTGATAGTTGCCTGTTCTCCCGTCAGCTACGTGGTAGGACTAGTCATCAGCCCTACCCTAAAGCAGCTCTTAGGCACCTTGAGAAACGCAACACAGAGGCACAGAGGAGCACTTTATAACACAAGGGAACTTGCTAAGGTAGTGTAGCCACCAGCAATTATCCTTGTGGTCACTCTTTAGCAGAAGAAACCAAACTGCAGAACTTTTCTAATCCATGGTCTCACTGAAATGGCAGCATCCCCAGAAAAGCAGCTTGAGAAGCCCTTGCACAGTCCAGGAGGCAGCGGCTCTGTCCCTCCCACTGTCCCCGGTCCCTCTCCCCTGTGTCTGGAGGCCGAGGACAAAGCCTAATGGCTTTTCCACTGGCCCGATAAGTCTCACCTTGCTGCACTGCCTTGCGCAGCCCCTCCTTATCGACCTGCAGATCAGCACTTTGCCACTGCAGTCCCATCAGAGCTGGCATGCTCCACTGGCTGCCCAGGCTGTGAGAGCACATTAAAGGACCAGATTCTCCTCAGGATCCTTTGCAGGGCTGGGGTAACACTGGAAAGGCTGACAGGGCCATGTCACTACAGGTGCCTTCAGCCCTTCCTATGGTGGGTTAGACCAAGTCCTTTGCATCTATCTTACAAGGTGTGTAGCTGTGTGGTAGGGTGTGTGGGGCAGATTTCACCATGCCCCAGTCACAAATATCAAGCTGCTTAAAAGCGCTGTTGGAAACTCCATGCCAGTGTGAGGCAATGCTTGCTTGCTCTACTACTGAATCTGGGCCATCATGTCCAGCACCAATCAGAGTGGAAAGGTTTCCCCAAAAAATCAATGGGATGATGCTGGGGGAAGAGGGGCAGGTGCGTTTGCCCTTCTGCTCCGGAGGTGTGGGATGAGGGCTGGCAGTGGTCAGGTGTCTTGGCAAGTCTCTGGGTGAGGATTGTACAGTACTGGTCCCAGCTGGGTCTCTCCCAGTCTCTCACTTTTATGAGCACTAAAAATATTTGAGATGTTAAAATCTAAAGCACACAGAAATCCCTCCCTCTTGCCTGGACGCCTCGGGGCAGCTTCACCCTGGAGAGGAGGGAATGGGAGCTCCTTGGGTCTCTGTGAACTGTCTCAGCAGATTGTATCGTATCGCAGCCAACACTGGGCCAAGGTGATGTGTTGGCTTCGGGAGGTGACCACAAAGCTGAGGACCCCGGGGGTCTGGAGGCGCCCAGGGGAAGGCAGAACTGGAGCACTACCTCTACCGTTTGCAGCGTTGTGGGTGCTGGCCTGACACTCCCTGCCTGCTTACCCTTGCCTTTCCTTCCTTTATCTCCTGGCAGCTCCAAGGATTCACCAGAGTGAGGAGAACCAGGTAAAAGCAGCAATACCAGAACTTCTTTGGGGGAGGGACGTGAGGCTGGGCTAGCCCACATGCAGTGGGCAGCAATCCTTACTCCTGGCTGGCTTTACCCTGGAGCTCACACTGGCTTGCCTAGCTTGCTGGCGAGCAGAAGGGAAGCAGATCAAATTGTCTTCCATCAAGACAGAGAACCAAAGAAGTTGCCTCCCCAGGAGGCACCAGTGACCTCCTATGTCATGCTACACCCAGGCCAAAGCCACCTCCAGGGACTTTTAACACCCAAGAGGCACAGCCAGCCCTCCCAGCTGCACCCTTCCTGCAGCTCCCTCCTTTCTTATACAACTGCCTGGAGGTCCACCAAGGAGCCCTTTGCCCAGCTTGACTTGCTCTCCAGAATGAGTGGGCAAAGCAGCAGTAGTCACTACCAGTGGCCTTTAGGCATGTGAGGCAGAGAGGGCGCTGGAGGATGACAGTTTGGGGAGGCTCAGAAGCCTTCCTGCAGCACAAGTGAGTTTCTGGGAATTGCCCAGCACCAAAGGTGACTCATTGCTTGTGCAGGTCCTCCAGGAGTGTCCTGGAAGCAAAGCATCTGAGTCAATCCAGAACAAAACCTTTTTTTGGCTGGCTCAGCAGAATGGCAAACTTTCCACCAGGGTGGGGGACAGAGTGGTGGTATGATGGGAGATCAAACAGTTCATTTAGGTCTGAGTTTTCTCAGTCCTTTTTTCAGCCCTTACTATTAAATATCATTCAGAGAGAAAAGTTGGAAAAAGATCAAAATAAAGCAAGACTTTTTCAAGGTAAGAAACCCCCTATCTGGATCAAAGTGCTAAGCAAACATGAGCCCAATTTACAGATGATTTCTTCTGTGCCCTCTCCTTCCTCCCAAGAAACCGCATTTATCAGTAAGTAAATGATTGTCCAGAAAGAACCCAAGGGCTCCATTTGAGAGAGAAGTCGGTGTCCTTGGAGAGCAGGAAGAGAGGGCGAATGTCTCTGCAAGCAGCACAAGTGCAGGACAGTGTGAGAAGCAGAGGTGTGAGCGACTCCGGCCGTCACGCTGAGAAACGTGCAGGTCACTAGGGCTCAGCCAACACCTCTGAGGGCTTTCCCAAGAGCTGGATGGGCTTCAAGAACAAATAAGCTGGAGCGGTCAGGAAAGGAGCAGGGGCTTGAGCAGCCGACAGCAATGCCTATGTTGGGAGCTGCCAGGCTTTGCTGGGAAACTCCCCCGTGCCCCGAGTTTGTTTGTGGTCCCAGGTGGACCATGATAAGGCAGGTTTTGGTCACACTCTGCTAAGTGTCCTCAGTGGGCTGCTGGGACAGATGCCAGCGGCTGGGCAATGGCAGCGGGAGCATGGTGGGGTTAGCTCTTCTTCAGGGCTCCTACAGGAGAGTGGCATACTGACAAACAGCATGAGATGTTTCACGAGGCCGGGAGGAGGGACCCATCGCTCCTCAGGGAGCCCACATCCCCAGAACTGCAGGCTACCCTGCCACCCTTCCAACCAGGGAGCCCTGGTGTCCTTCCCTTGCTCTTGGTGCCAGGTTACTCCTGCGCGCCCAAGCGGGTCAGCTCCTCGTTCCGGCCCATTAAGCCCACTTGCGTTCACAGTCACCAGTGAACTTGAATGGGTGGTTTATTGCCCGCTTGTCTTCATTGCTTTGTAAACACGACTGGCTGCTGGTGACGCTGGTTTGGGCTGGGGCATTCGAGCTCTGGAGAGAAGGGTGGTGTGGGTGTCTGAGTGGCTTTGGTTGGCTGCGCTTCCTCCTCCTCCCTATTACCCGGTGCGATCTGCCCACGCTTGGGTCACTCCGTGACTGCTAACACCCACGGGGGGGCGGGGGCCAAGGTGGTGGGTGACAGCCCAGGGCCTTCACCCTCCACCCCGCGGGTGCCAGATGTCCCACCCCCGCCGGCCCCGCAGGGAGGCTCAAGGCGGAGGACCCGCGCTGGCGTCACGCCCGGGCACCGTGGCGTCACCGCCTTCACGACCAATGAGGGGGAGAGGAAGCCGATTGCGTCACCGTTACGCAAGCCCCGCCGGCTTTAAATTTTAAATTGGCGGCGGCGGCGGCCATTCGCGCGCTCTGGTCACGCCCCCTACCTCTCGTCACTGGGCCTCCCCGCCCCCTCCGCCAATGGAGTGACGCGCTTCCCCGCACGCGCGCCGCGTCCCGGCCAATCAGCGCAGGGCGCCGCTCGAACCGTCGGAACCGCTCCGCCCTCCCCGGCTGGCGCGGACGCCACATTGCGCAGGCGCGGCCGCCGCCACGGCCCAATGGGGAGCGGGGGCGCTGCTCGGCGGTAGCCAATGAGGGGTGCCCGCGGGTGATGGCGGCGGGCGGGCGCTGAGGGGCCGCCCGCCATGGCTTGCTCCCACAGCGTGGTGTTCCTGCTGGACACGGCCAGCCCGGCGCGGCGGGCGCGGCTGCGGCGCGGCGCCCTGCGACTCCTCAACCACCTGGGCTGCCGTTTCGGCCTGCCCCGCCTCCGCTGGGCCTTCAGGTTCTTCAACTCGCTCGGGGGCCGCGGCGGGGCCTCGCGGGGCGGCGGTGGTTTCCGGCCGCCGGGCCCCCGCGCCTGGGCCCGTTTCGAGGAGGAGCTGGCGGAGCGGCTCGGGGCGCGGGGACCCGCCGCCCTCCTGCCCGGGCCGCCGCCCCGCGCCGCCCTCACCCACAACGGCCTCAAGGAGACGCTCCTCGACTTCCAGTGGGACCGCCCGGAGATCGCGTCCCCCGCCAAGCCGCTGCGCAGGAGCCGCAGGACAGGGCTGGCCGCCGCGGAGCCCCCGGAGAGCCAGCCGCCTCCTGAGGGCTTTGTGAACGCCGTCTTCCTCTTTTCCCCCTGCCCCCACTCGCGGAGGGAGCTGCGGCAGTTCGTGTCGGGGAGCGACGCCCCTTCGTCCCCCCGTGAGCCGCCTACGGCTCAGGAGCTGGCGGAGAAGCTCCTGCCCAAGAGCGTCCAGGAGTTGTTCGCGGAGCAGAAAATCACATTGTTCTGGGTGGACACTGCCGAGTGGTCTCAGGTAATGAGGTCATGCCGCACGGCTTTCGGCCCGCGGGTCCTAGCAGGCCGCGTTTCATGCTACCCTCCCGTTTAAGAAGGGAGAGCAGTTTCATGCTGTAGTCTTCGAGCGGTGGGGAAGGGTCTTCAGTTGCTGCTACCTTGTTCAGCAAGAGACTGTAAAGTGGAGTGGTAGTCATGCACGTGGAGACCGAGATAGATCTGCAGTTGAGTAACTGTATAGTGTTTACTGATGGGTTGTTTAGTGCTTTGAGTTAGGTGGGAGTTACGGCTACTCAGAACTGCAAATAAGGAGCCTGATAGTTCAAGTGTCTGGATGCCAGGTTCAAAAAACTCAGCTTGAAAATATTGGCTAGCTCTTAATTCAGTGGGAATAGTATTTTCTTTAGTGGATTCCTGTGAAGGCTGATAGACTTCACAAAACCACTTGAAAAACACTCTGTTTAGATGCTTTGTATACATTTTGTATGCCAGTTGTTCTAAAAGCATGCACTCTTTGTTCATATGAAAGTTATCTCACTGCCAATGGTAACGTGAGACCTCTCTGTTGCTTTATTCCAGCTGGTCGAATCCCCAGATCATGTCGGGTACTGGACAATGTTTGAACTGATCTGTCAGATGGGAGGCACCATTTTGCCAGCTGAAACCTTAGTGCAGTGTTTAAGTCACCACAGGGCGAATCTTGCTCATGGCTTTCTTGGAGACTCAAGTTCCCCAGTGCCACGGACTGTGCCTTGGACCTCGCTTCTGCCATTGGATGCAACCTTGAACTGCTTGTTCTCAAAGCCCTCTGTATTTCAAGCAGTATTCCCCCAGCAAGAAGGGATGTTGTTTCTCAGCATGCCTGGTAATAAAAAGATAGGTGTGCATAATAATCACTGTGATCTCTCATGCAGAGTCCATGATGAGTTTCCCTTATGAACAGTACATGTAGAAGTAACTTCAGATGTTGAAGAGCCTAAGTTCTGCATGTGCTCTAGTTTCTCTGATATGAGAGCTATTAGCCACTCTTTCTGATTTAGTCTCTTCAATTTTCCATGCTTCCAGAAGTTTGGATGCATAAAGAGCTCATTGCTCATCACACCCTTTTTTTATGCACGCTTTGGCTCAGCTTCAATTTAGCTACAATAAGAACACAAATAAAAAGCCCTTCAAAAGAAAACAGATTAGCTTTAAAGCAACATGCAGTGTGCATTGGCTCTTTAGTGGTCTCTTCATGCGCTCAGCTCCTTGAGAGTGTGGGGAGGAGGTTGGTTCTGCAATATACTTACTGTAGAGCTATTCCCTGTTTAATCTTGAAACTTAACTGTTTTTTTTTGCATTGTGAAAGACCAATTTTATTTACTTTATGACTTTTGCTTTATCTTATCCTTGCACAGGAGGGAAGAAGCAGGAAAGTTGTGCTGTGATCTTGGAACCCCTTGCCATGAGCCAAAGACAACTGCACTGTCCAGTCAACATCTTCCTCAAAGGTAGCTTGACAGGCTGGAGCTTGGTGCAGGCTGGCCACTTTCTCACGGAAAGCTGGATAGTGCAGAGCTCACAGGCTGAGCAGGCAGAACATAACAGGTCACTGTTTTGTCAGCTGTTAAGGAGTCTAGTGACTGAAGAGCTACACATGGTAAATCTTTTTCTTTGCCTTAAACTAATACCTGTTCTGAAATCAGCTGTGACAAAAGGAGTGACAGTGTATCATGTTGTGAGGACAATAATAGTGGTATTTGTTGCACTGCAAATAGCTCATCTGGAGTCAAATTCAGAACATTCTTTAGGAGATTGTATAAGTCTATAACCTGTTTGTAAAGTATCTGTACTCCTTAGGTCTCTGCATTCCTAGGTAATGTAAACTTTTCTCTTTTTTTAATGTAGGTTGCTGAGGTATCGCTATGTAAAACTTGGTGCCCCTGCACTGCTGTTTTATCACCACTTTCTGAGAGCACTGCAGTTCTGACTGTACTTGGCACTGAGAAGACTGCTGGAGTTCAGCGATGCAACCTTGAAGGAGCTGTAGTGGAGAACTGTTCCCAAGACCCTGCTCTTCATCTCCCAGATATTGTGAATAGTGTCTTGAGTAAAATCGGCACATCAGTGGACGATTCTCTGGCCAGTGTGGGTAGGTGTCAGGACATGCAAAACTTACCATCTTTTGGTCATTTCTAGATCTAATTTGGAGTGGAAAAATCTAAAGTTAATGATTTCCTCAGTGAGGCGTCTCTCATTTTTGGGACTTACTCATTTTTGTCTTGAGTTCTGTGGCTCAGTCCTTGTGAAGTGATGCAAAAATCTGCGCTGGTGTACCTTTCTGTTTTATTGACAAAGCATTAGTTTTCATTAGCTTGTAGATAAAGTGCAGCTACTTGTGCCTGGGGACAAGTTTTTAGAATGAGGTTTCCTAAAATGTGTCACGTAGTTTGTGTGTGGCCAGGAAAGCCTTTGGGAGTGGCTACAAGGAGGCTGCTTTTAGCTCACCTGTTTTGTGTTAGAGTGAATCTAATGAATCTCCTTGTCTGATGTATTTGCTATTAAATTGCCTCTCCAGGAGCAAAGGTTTGGAAACAGCTGCTTTAGAGATTCTGTAAAGGCTGGGACCTTCTGTTACTTCATTTAGTTTCCTTCTTATTTTTTTTTCGTGTGTCTGCTCACAGTAGGAGAAACTCGTATGCCAGAGTGGGTCCAACGGGAACTGTCCCATACAGGGGGCTGGCATCCTTCAGTGCTTGAAGCATGGTATCCTGCATCGAACGCTTGTGGAGCAAGCTCAGATCTGATGGAGTCATTCAGGTATCTTTATGAAACATGTCTCTAAGTAATAATCAAGGATTGCTGCTTCCTGTTAAGGGAGTATGGCTGTAGTGTTGCTCAGAGTTCTAGAATTAAATGCTTCTCTTAGTGCTTTTATTTCTGTACTCGGTTTACTGTGTGCTGTTTCTTCATTATGTTTTGGTGTATAGGCAAAAGGAGTGGGAAACAGAATGTTTGGTTAGCAGTTTGTGTGGATTAAGATCTTGGCAGTTTCAGGAGTGATATAGGTGACTTAAAATGACATAAGTTACTTGGGGAAATGTCAAACTTCAGCTCTTATGGTATGATAAGGTCCACTGCAAGATACAGAAGGCAGTGGTTGTGTTATCACAGTTGGTATTTAGTAGGAATAGAAAAGGCTGTTTTCTTCGAAGAGCTTGCTGACTGAAATAAATAAAAGCCCAAAGTAGGATAGCTTAGCACAAAGCTGCTCTATATAGTTTTGTGGCATGGGTCAGTGGCATATCCACTGTACATCAGACAACTCTTGTTATCCTTGTTTTTAACTTGGTGCAACACTTTTAAGAGGGTGGTTTGGGTTTTTTGTATCTTTTAAGTAAGAGTTTTGGGGAGCAGGCATTAGAAGAGTACCAGCATGTGTTACTTGTACTGTATGGTTGTGGACTGGCACCTAGAATCCACTGGGAACAAGGGATATACCTCCCACTCCTGTCTTTTTTGATAACTATATTGAATGGCTCTTTATATAGGCTCCTGCAGGTTCCTTGTGTTAATGCGAAGGACGATGCGGATCAGTCTGAAGTGGAACTCTCAGAAAGTCTATCTGAGCTGTATCAGGGAAAATTCAGTGAAACGTCCACTGCAGCTGGACAAGGAAATAGCAAAAAAAGACGTATGTATACTTTAGGATTGATTATATGTGCATGTTATCAATGAAAGATGCTAAAGACTTCTCAGTGCACCTTTTAATACATGAACCCTAGAGAACTGTACTCTCTGGAGTAGTAGCATGCTTTAGGTTTTTGTTAGATGGCATCATTTACATATTAATAGTAAGATTGTCCTTTAGTACAACTCAAGTGACTCTAAGGCTGTGCAGTGACTGGGAAAACTGTTAAAAAGCAGCATGAAGAGTTTTGTAGTTTCACTAGTTGTTGAAATAGGGACCACTCCAACTACTAGTAAATAAATATTGCAGCCTCTCAACTCTGTTCTAATTTGAAGAAATAAAACACTTCTAGAAGAGTTTCATCACTTAATATCAGTACACTAACCACAGTTGCATATACCCTGAGCTGATGTATCACTAAATCTTGCTCTGTTAGCTATTTCTGTGACCTAAGCTTGCTTCCTATGTTTGTAACTTCTGGCTATACCTATATAAGCTCTCATGCAGAGCAATAGTTTTCTCCTGCTTTTTACTTGAGAAGTAGTTGCCTGCTATGCTGCCTGTACATTTATTTTGTGGAGAAATACAAACCTTTTGGGCCATGTTTTCCACTAGAAAGCTACTAATATTGCTTGACAGTAACACAGAATTCAGTATTATGCTCTAGCTTGGGTGGAGTTCCTGCCCCAGTATGTCTGATGGTAGAACTCCCTTTTTTGGGCGTTGCAGGTGGGGTTCCCCGAACTCCAGTCAGGCAGAAGATGAAGACCATGTCCAGATCCCTACAGATGCTCAATGTAGCAAGACTGAATGTAAAAGCTCAGAAGTTTCAACCTGATGGTGTGCCACCAACTGTGAATGAGAAAGTTCCACAGAAGCTTTCAGGAAAAAGATTGGATGAAAAGGTGGAAGAAAAGAAAAAAGCACTTAAAATATCAATAGGTGAGTGTTAAGTTCTCAGTCTTGAGATTTCTAGGAGGTCATATGGATTTTTATGGAAGGGAGAGGGAAGGATAATAAAGGAGTACAGGGTGCTAAGGAGCAGATCAGTGTTTGGGTTTCTGTATCTTAAGCTTGTCACAGAGTGGTTATTTTTCTCCCACCCTCTCCTTGTTAGTTTCTATAAATGTTTACAACCTAGTGTTACAACTGTTCCTGGAGTTAGTTTCCTGCTTTGTCTCCACATGAAAAAAAGCAGTAAGGAACTATCTTTTCTCTTTAACCAAAAGAAGTAGAGGGAAGCACCCTATTTACTAATTATGCAGAAGTAAATGGAATTTCTTGACTGCTACAGTAACCTGAAAGCTTGCTGATCTACTTGGAACTGAGCTTATTATTTGTCATGAGTCTGGTCCTGGGACTGCTTCTGTTACTGTTCTGTGGTCTGGATACATCTTTGCTGGAGAAAATATCTGTTGATGACCCTTTCTGTTCCCCTTTTCAGCTGGCATTGAGTATTTTATCAGTTTTATCAGCCATTTAGTTAACTTAGACCATTTCTCTTGCAGACCTCAAAACTGAGGAGGAACTGCAGTCCCATTTAATTGCAAGCTACCAGAAGGCTGTTGCTGAGGGAGTTCTTTCGTCTGTGTGTGCCCAGAATATGATCATGGCCATTAAAAGGTTCTTGAAAGTACAAGAAGCCAAAGAGAAAGAGGTAGGTAAGAGCATGTGGGCAGGGTTGTTACTGATCAAGAAATGAAAGTTTTTTTACCTGTTTCAGGCTACCTGAAGTTTTTATGCACTGTTGCACATAATCAAAACCACAGCCACTACCTACTTCTATCTGTGCTGACTCAGTTGTGAGAAACTAGGTAGTTGTAAAGAATGTAGGAAAATAGACTTCAGTTATCAGTTTACACCTTTGCTAAAGATAGCAACAGATGTCTTTTTCCTTTGACCTCATTCTGAATTCTAATTTCACATATTTGAAGACAGTATTTTAAAAAATACATTCTTGCAAACCATATTTTAAAAAAGGTGTGTCTTTTGGTTTTGCTTTACGTGGCAAATCTAGGCCTACTACTTCTCCAGGAAAGAGTAGTAGTTCAAGGTATTTCTTACAATCTTTAACACTATTTATAGACTTAAAGTAGGTCACTGAAACTTACTGGCAAACTTGTGAGAAAAAAATACTGTGAAAAACAAGTCCATAGTTACTGAAGGCCTGAAGCTACAAGCAGCTGACCTCTGATTTCAGGCTCTAAGTTCTTTGAAGTCTCATGTCATGGTGACTTTGCTACTGAAAGAAAAAGAGAATTTTAATTGAAGGAGGATAAAAAAAAATTGAGCTATTCCCAAAAGAATGGGTCAAGAGGAAGGGATAAAAACCTGTCCCGAAGACAGGGAACAAACTTGAAGTTTTTGCTGTAATTGTGTGTCTGCAGGTGGCCTGTGTGGAAAGAGTCAGAAGCCACCTCCTGAAGACCAGCAAAATGCTCAGACAACAGCATGGCTTACAGAAGGAGACCAAAGTCAGAGAGTAAGAGACACTATTTACTTCAACTTCTGAAATACTGTGGAATTGGTTAGCAATTTTTAATGATGGACTTTTTGTACAAGTGGAAAAGTATTTCCATGAGGTAAATATTCCAAGGAGAATATCTGGTCACAGTAAAACAACTTAAGTGCATATATATGTATATGCTGTGTGATAAGCATTGCAGCCTGTGTCTGAAATAAGGCATCTCCCCTGCCATCAAAATGAAATGCTAACCAAATTATGCTGTCAAAAGGAGCCACTTCCCCTCCTGTTGCTTTTTTGAGTATACCTTTTGCAGTAAATATGCTGTTTCTGCCAGGGGAAAAAAAAAGTCAGTGGATGATTACTTGTTTTCTTAGGTGCCAACTTCAGGTATTTTTACGCCTTGAGTTGTGTCTTCAGTGCCCTTCACTGCAAAGCAACACTGAAGAAATGGAGCAGCTGTTAGAAGAGGCAAGTAAATTATAGACCCAGTTGTGTTTCTTGATAGTGCTAGAAATGCAGACGTGGAACCTGTATTTTTCCCTTGATTTTACTGTAACACTTCATATTCCTTGCTAAAAAAATCTGGTGTTGCAACTGCCACAATTTAATCTGTTTTCCCACCTGACTTTGTTTTCCAGATGACAGATATGCTGCGCATTTTATGTCTGACTGAAGACCCAGGGTATCTTACAAAGTTTCTAGAGAAAATATTAGAATTGTAAGTTCTTTAGCATGGCTTAAGTGTTACTGGGGACTGTGGTTTTGCTGTTTGCTCAGAGATGTCCAGCTGATCTACAGCTTTGATTTACTGCATCTTTGTAATTTTCAGAAGTTTAGACATCTTCTGTTTGTTACGCTTATCTTGATTAAAGTTGCTGATAAGCAATTAAACTAATGAAAAAACACAGCTGATTTTTTTAATTGACACTTAAGAACAAAGATTTAGTGCAGACCTCGGGATTGAAACACTGACAGTTTTGTGGTGGATTGTACTTGATGTAGGCTCTCTCTGCTCTAGGTATATGAAGTCTATACCGAAGACCCTTGGAGATATTTACTATAGTCTTGGTACACAAATACCCCCAAAGCTGGCATCTGTTCTGCCTTCAGACTTCTTCAGTGATGACTCTGTGACTCTGGATAGCAAATCTCCTGGCCTTCCACTGTCTTTATCATCTGCCTTAACTCCTAGTGCTGTTTGCCTACGCACTGAGAGTGATCAGCTGGAGGAGCTGCGCACCAGATCTGCCAAAAAGAGAAGGTAATAATTTGAAATAGGAAGCAAGTTGTTGCAGCCTGGGCTGTAGCTGAGGAGTTACCTTAACTACAGCTCAGTCACCTTTGTTTCTGTTTCTTGACAGCTAGTTGGGGTAGGCTGACATCTGCTGACAGCTCTGCAAGCCTGAGAGAAATATTAAGGGCTTACATGTTTAATTTTAACTTGCCGTTGTTGACTATATGAAAGTAATCTTGATTCTGTATGTGTATCTTATGCACAAGTAAAGTTCATGAGCACCTTCTGTGAGAGGAAGAGGATGTTCTACTGTGCAGTATTATTAAAGTTAAAACTGTGATTTACTGTAGATCTCTACGTTGGGGATCCTGTGTACATTTTAGCAAATAGTGAAATGAGTTTTAATACCAACCTTAAAGTTAGGTATAGTTATTATATTGCAAATCATCTTTTAGTGTTGTAACTTAAGTGAGTTATCAATGCATCTTGCAATCTGAGTTTAGGTAAAGACTTCCTCTCCCTAGAGTCAACCTAGGTTTAATTGTCATTGGGTTAATAAATATGCTTCTGATCTTAACTTAATCTTTGTATGCTTTCTAAAGGAATAATGTATTAGCCAGACACAGGAGCATGACAGAAGCACCACAGAACTTGCGTCAAATTGAGATTCCCAAGATAGCCAAGAATCCCATCAGAAAGGTAAAACTCTTCCAAAAAGATTGTGTGTAGGTTGCTTCTGTGGGGGTGCAGCAATGTTGTGAAGTGATGCTTGAGTGCAAAAACTCTTGCTCTGCATTCTCTTAAGTATGTCCTGTATTAACTGTGCAATGATCAAAATCCTTTTGAATGAGAAATTGAAATAAGATGTGGTTCAGAGCTTACAGCTAATAATAGTTAAACATAACATTAAGATGCTAGTGGGACTAATTTTATTTTTTTGTTTCAGGAGAACTTGCATTCTTACCTTGCCACCGAGAAGTCCCAACAGATGCCTTTGCAGAAAGAAGCAGTTCAAGGTATTGTGACTTCTAGCTTTTCCATGGAAAGGTGCATCTTCAGCACATGTTCCTCCTGTAAGTTTAGTGAGCCATGATGGAAGCATGCTAATGCATGCTGGAAATCTGAAGGAAGTTTTGCTGAATTCTGCAAAAACTGAGGGAAAAAAAAATAATTACTGTGTTCTACGTGTGCTCATGTGCAGGAAACTTAAATCATGCGTTCTGAAAAGAAAACCTTTCCATTCTTCCTTGTGTCTTGCAACTATTTCCATCTTTGTCCTGAAAAGAAAACAAGGATGAGAGTGAACTCCTCTATCTGGAAACAGAATATCTCACTGCAAAATACTTAATAAAGTTAAATCCCTTGTGTTCTCTGAACGAACATGTGCTTCAGTTGAGCTTTTGTAGCCCATTTAATGTTGCTCCGTCTGGGACACTGGCTGCTTTTTCTGCTATGGCATTGTTGTGGTTTGAGCATCTGCTAGTAGCTTATTGCTGGAATAATGCAAATTTGTAAGAGAAGTTCAGGATGGATTTGGAGTTGCATGTTCCAATAGCAGAAAAACAACTTTTCAAGGCTTTGTGGCCTCTAAAAAGTTTTTTCTTCTGGTACGTGATGTTCCCATCTCTAGTGACCTGATAAAATTATCCTCCTGTGATTTTTTTTTTTTTTTTTTTTCTTTTTTTCCACCTTTTGCCTTTTAATCTGACCACTTCTTGCTTTGTCTTGCCTCACAGAGGTTACAAAAGTAAGGAGGAACCTCTTCAATGAAGAGATACTTTCACCATCAAAAAGATCTCTGAAGAAGATGCCTAGAAGTCAGTCAGTATCTGCTGTGGAAGGCTTAAGATACAAATGCAATGATGAAGGCACTAAAGGTAGGACATGACTTGCACATGTAGGATTGTTGTAGAAGACCTTTTGCTAAAATACGTAGTGCGTCCTCAGTTCTATGAAACAACTAATTATGTTTTTAATGAAGGAGAAAATATTTTAGATCACTGCTATAGTGTTTGGGGGGTGAATAGGATGATACTGAAACCTATTTTTTACTGAACTCTGTCTTGTAAAGAAAACTAATGTTGGCTTAAAAAGGATCTGTGAATGAAAGATGAAGAATGGAAGTTCTCAGGTTAATTATGTCTGAGACAAAGTCAGTACTATTAATAATATTGAGGGAGTGGGAAGGGAGTATAGACACTGGGCTCTGAAATGATGATAGCTTATGAGTACTATGATGATACTATGACTGATGCACAATGATTCTGTATTGGCTGTCATTCTTCAACTGAAGCCTATATGAAACTGTATTTATTTGTCCTAACTGCTTTATAATTGTGTGATGTTATAGCTCTTGTTTGATTTTTAGATCATCGGAAGTTACTGACCAAAAGTGTTGCAGAAACACCACTACATAAGCAGGTCTCCAGGAGACTACTACATAAGCAGATCAAAGGCCGGTGAGTAAGCTTTTTCTGAATTTCTTCAGTAAGTATTGGATGTCTGATTAGTAGCTGCGAGCACAAGGATCAGGTATCTTTTTGTGGTCAAAGCGTTGGTTGTCTTCACCTAAGGCAGTAAGAGAACCAGTAGAGGTTAAGTTCTGTTCTCTGTGTGGGGAGAAATACTGTTTGCTTCATCGTGTAAGTCAGGGTGCTTTAATTCCTGCAGCCAGCTTCTGTTTAGGTTCAGTTGCTGTTTAGAGGGCTTCTGAAGAAAAGGTCTGTGCTGTATTTTGTGGATTCCAGGCTGAAATTTAGCATTCACTTCCATGTAGTGTAGAACTGTTACCTGTACAGTTAGAGAGTTACCCACACTCAGTCCTATGTTAATAGGAGGAAAAGTACTTACTAATTGCTCACTTAGAGTAGCCCTCAAAGCAATATGTTGTAGCATAGAGTACTGCTTTTCAGTCTGTGGTAAGTTCTGTTTTTTTAAATGTGAACAGTGTGTTAAGTCCAAAATGTTTGCTGTTTCTCAAGGTCTTCTGATCCAGGTTGTGACACCAGTGTTGTAGAAGAATCTCCAGAGAAGGCCATAAATGGTAAGCACTGATTTTTGATTAAAGGTGGTTTTGCTGCGTTGTAGCTTGTAAGATGAGCATGCTTCAATTTGGGTAAATCATGATTGTCAGTACAAAAGTGTTGTACAGTTGGTGGAGCACAGCCTCCTCTGATAGAACCACTTGCTGCTCACTGCTTTGACAACCCTGTATAGTAGAAATTGTAGATAGTAACTCTTTTAAATTAAAATATGTTTAGGACTTTGAGGGTGAACAAGATTCTGAGCTGCTATAATTACTGTCAAATGAACACATGCAGAGTTTTTTAATGTAACTTCAGCATGTTGTTCTGTGACCTTAACACTACTCTTGTTTCTACTGTAACTGATAGCCACCCAGCTCTGTGGAGTGTCTCTGTGTTGGCTACTGCTGTTTCTTATTCCCAGGAAGGAAGAAGAAAACAGCATGGTTGCACAAGCAGGAAGATGAAATTGCTAGTAAAAGGAGAGAGGAGAATTAACTAATCATTTAACCGGGATGTAACTTGAACATGTCTTTTCTAGCATTCCTTTCCATACAATGGCTAGAGAGGAATGAAAGGAATCACGACTTAAAGGAAGGGGCATTGTGATTTGTAAGGAGATTTGTACAATGCATCAATATGCCAAATCCCCAAGGAAGTTGAAACTTTCTTCTTCGCACACTTGCTTCCCTACATGAGGTAGCTGTATGGAAGTTTCTTAGTGCGTGTGTGTTTTTCAGTTACAAACTGTTCCTGAAAATGTCTCCATTGTTGAGGGAGAAAGAAGGCTCAATCCTTAATATCCTTACCCTTTCAGAAGCAGGTTTGCAAAGAAGTCCATGCATCAAACAGCTGTCTTTGAGTAGGACCTGCTCTGGTGCTTTCTATTCCACTACACAGCCCAGCTCACAAAATTCACAGCGAGTCCATCAGGGACAGGAAGAGGAGAGCTGTACACTGCAGGATGTAGAAGGTACTGAATGGGATTTGAGCAGGCTGATATTGTTGATCTGAAAAGCGGGCATGGATAGCTCTGGTTTAATTTGGCTCTGTAAGAGGCAAGAAGCTAAGAACTATCGTGTAATATTTTATGAAGAAATTCATCCCCAGTAATTATTTTTTAATTGGAAATCTGAATTTGGAGAATGGTACGGCTGCTATTTCTATGATGAATCCACTGCCAACTTGAGAAACCAGTCAGGCCCATTTAGCAGAATACCACTGATTGTCAGTTTGCTTTCCTTGAATGCAGTGAAATCCCTGTAAAATATGGGACAGAAATCCTAAAGCTTACTTTCAGTCTACTCTGTGACAGCATAAAGCAATGACTGATGGGATCTTTGCTGGCTTTCTCAGTAGGATTATCAGCTATAAATTATGACAGTTCTGTATATTGTACTTACTAGAGTCCTTAGTCATGAACCAGAACTTTCTTAAGCTGTAGGCTATAAATAGACTAAGAGGCTGAGCTACACTGTACTTTTTTTTTTTTTTCTGCTAGAGCACTCTTTTTACAGATGGATATTAGTTTCATATTGGAAAATAACAATAATTCTGGTGAAGCTTTAACATTGGGCTAGAAAAGAATATGCCAGGGCTATAGGCTTTGTACAGTACTCGTCCAGATATCTGAAGTGATTGAGGCAATTGTTCATGGCAGGTTACTTGGTGTTAGTTCAATTGTACTGTTCCACTTTATAGGCATTAAGCAGCATTCAGAAAGTCCCACTGTCCAGACTCCCAAGAGGTTTTTCTTTGGTGCAGTCACTGACATGTGTAGTCCTGCAGTGAAGCCTTCGCCTGGAAGAAGAACAAGAAAAGATTCCTTATGCTTAGAGGAGCTGACTGTCTGTCAGGTAGAAACACTTACCTCTCTCTTTTTCTTCCCACCCCCTTTTTGTATTCACGTTTAGTGAGACCTACACATCTTGAATTCAGAGCTTGTTAAGTCTAATCTAATGTGTTTTGTGTGTTAGATCTTGAGAAGTAAACATCAAGAGGAGTAGATAATACTGCTGGAATAGAGCAAGCATGATTGTTTAATTTTTTTTTTTTTTTACCCTGCAGACTCCTAGAAAAACACCCCATAAATTTGCCCAGAAGCCACTGAATTCTGCCAGTAAGCTACCAAGAAGATCACCTCGCTTTCTCTACAAGACACCACAGAAGCTGGAGGAAACTCCTGGCAAAAGTCCAGCTGCTAAGCAGACTGTAGCTAAGTGTTTGGGAAAGTACTTCTCTCATCCTGTACAAAGGGTCAAGTCACCATCTGCATTAACTGAAAGTAAGAAGGTTCACTTACTGCAAGTAACTTCTAAGGATTGTTCTCCAGCAGAGAGACTTTCCCCTCCTTGCAAAGAGGCTGGCTTACAAACACCAGAACATGAAGGGTTTGCGGTGCTCAGTGCCTCATTATCACCTCTGACAGATTCAAATCCATCTGCTTCTTCCCCCTCTGCTGTACAGGAAAGATGCTTTGCAGAACTGCAAACTCCAAGACGTTCCTTGCATTACCTCTCAAAATTAGCATCTCCAGTTGGTACTCGGAGGCAAATCCTACCAAAGGAAATTCAGGTGCAGTCAGATCCATTATCTCAAGCAACTGGAAGTACTCCCAGGAAACCTAAAGATCCAGGTTCAAAATCATGTACCAGCCCACTGAGTGCAGAAATATCGCAGCTTGCTGTGAGGCTAGAGCCTCCCTTCAGTTCTCCTCTCCATAAAAGTTCCATGAACACTATGGCAATCTGCTCTCCTTCCCATGTGCAGGCTAGGGAGTCTGACTGGGAACCATCTTCTCAAAAATCTCCAGTTTTTACTGGTACTTCACTGAGGACCCTGCTTCACACATCCAAACAGGCCAACTGTGAACCAAATTATGAAGGAGAGAACCTCACACTTGCATGTACAACACCTGAAAATAAGGACAATCATCACGATAGTGGTGGTAACATTTCTGTAGAAAGCCTTCAGCTTTGTCAGTCCCAAGCCACTGAAAATACCCCTGTATCAGGGGAAAATAAACAGATGGATGTAGTGTCTCAAAAGTCTTCTGAGTCCTCTCTTGGAGAAAACTTGGAAAAACTTTTGCCTCCAAAGCCTTCTGCTGGAGGGCAGGCACATGCACAGAATGCTGAGATAGAGTGTGAGCAACTGGTTAAGGAGGGGAACTCCAGTGCAAACACCTGTGAGTCCTTCCTAAGTGGAACAGTTAGTGGAGACCTGGAAACAAGAACCCTGCTGAGAGATGAATATACAGGGTTGAAGGCTTCCCCTCCTCTGAAGTCTGCTTCTGCCTATTCCTTACGCTGCACTGCAGACAGGAGGCAGCGGGAGGCAGCAGCACGGATGGGAAATCCTCAACTTCTAGCCAAGTTCTCTACTCCTAAAAGTAGTTGCAAACTGCCTTCTGCTGGTCCACCAACTTACGAAGTTGAACTTGAAATGCAAGCTTCAGGCCTGCCCAAGCTTCGCATTAAGAAAATTGGCTCTTGCTCATCATTGGAAGTTCAACCTGAAGCAAGTGCCAGCAAACCTAAGGGAGGAGAAAGCCCCTTTGGTGATCTTGCTATGACCTGGTGTAGCAAGCACCCGGGAAAACTAGCAGCTGCCTGTGTTTCACCATCCTGCTTTCGCTCTTTCCACAGTACACCTGGGAAAGGTGGAGGACAGACCTACATATGCCAGTCCTACACTCCAACAAGCTGTACCTCTAATGCCAGCTCCCCATCGCCCTTAGAAGCAGGAGTTCCCCAGACACCTTCTCCAAAGCAGAAGGGGAAGACTACCCCTGATGCTATCAATGATTGGCCTCGGAGAAAGAGAGCAGCAGGCAGCACTGCTAATGTTAGCTGTGGTCAAAGTGAGAAGAGTGCTGATGAACAGAAGAGAATGTTGACAGGCAGAGGAGGAGAAATGAAGATCTCGGACCATTGCAGCAGCAAAGTAACAAATAGTCTTGGGGAATTTGAATTGGAAGGGGTTTACAGGCTCCAGGATCAGGCGTCTCCTAGTGACTCTGAACCCAGGGCTGATGAGGACTCTGCCATGGGAACTTTTGGCTTGAAATTTCGGAAGCGGGTCTTTACATATCTATCACCAGAAAAGGAGGAGAATCATGACGCCAAGAGGTCTTGCGCTGATAGGTGTAACTTGGATCTCACTGGCTTTTCCACAGAGGAGGGCAGCAGAAACAAATCAAGGACAGACTCTGTGCTTCCGGAGAAACCAGGACCATGCGCACTCATAACTCTTGAGCAGCGCAGTTGTGTAGGGGATGACAATGTCTTCCTTTTGTCAGGTAATTGAGTAGCACAAGTGACACTATTGAAATTCAGAGATGGTAAAAAATGTGGGGTAGACAAAAACAAGAACACAATTGTTTTCTGTTTATCTGAGGGAGAGTGAGGTGGAGGGGGAGTGGATTGTAAATGACATGGAAGTTAATTATGTGAAGAGGCAGACTGGCTGTGAGGTTCTTAACAATGGAGTATTAATGATGGGAAAGAGATCAGAAATATGAAAGAGCAGGAGGTATTAAACTGAAAGTTTGAGAACATGGGGAGGGAGGATCCTACTTGTGTCCAGCTGGCAACATAATTTGGGTTTGTGTTGATGCTGCTAGCTGTTTCTGCTCAACATCCAGTACTGAAGCCAACTCTCTTTAAAGCTTGGCTGCTTCACTATAGACTGGAGCCTTGGCGGGGTTAGTCCTCTGGATGTTGGTATTTATTGCTGCTCCAATTCTTCTGTCTGCTGGTGGTGGCAGGCCTGTTGAAAATGGGTATCAGAAATTATTGCCTTGCTAGCTATAATGTTGTATTGGTAGATTTTTAAACTATCCCCATGCTTTTGCTGTGAGTACAGATGATTCTCTTGATCTTGGTGAAACAGGCTGTCTCGGTTCTCTCAGCAAGGCCTTGTGAATTTCAAATACTTAATCCAGTATTGTTCTAGAAATTACATGTTCTGTTTCCTTTTGCAAGGACAGGTTTGTATACAGAGGCTGTGTCTTATTCAACAGGAATCATTGAGAAAAATAGGCAAACTTTAAAGCAACATTAGTCCACGTTCAAGACATGAAATAATAGCAGTATTTAGCCTTAAGCTGGTCCTGTAAGAGATTTTCTGTACCTACAGACCTTGGTTTTGTATTTACAGATTGTCATGGTTATAACATTTTCTTCAGGACACATGAGTTAATTGAAGAGTAACTATGTTTAATATGAGTGAAGCACTTTACTAGTAAACCACTTGAGAAAATTAAACGCACTAAGAGCTAATTTTATCTTTCTTGATGCCAGAAACCCACTGTGCCAGTTGAGATTTTGTTTCGGGTAAACTCCCAAGTATCACTTGTAGTGGTGGAAGTTTTGAGGTAGAATAAAGTTGCATATGAGCCTTACCTGAAAGCACTCCTGAGTTATCAGTTTGCTGCAGCATCTCACTGCTTCTCCAGGCTCAACCCCACCAGTGAAGAGGACGCTCTCTGCCAGCAGCCTCCTAGCACTGACCCAGTCTCCACTGCTGTGCCAGGGACAGACACCACCATCTCGAAGAAATTGTGTTCAAGGTACTGACCCGTGCCGTAAGGAAGGAAAGGTTGGGCTAGAGCATAGGAGATGTGCTCACTGCTTGCCTGCAACTAAAGGAGAACAAAAGCATACTGTGCTAGGGATTGGTCTTTGTGCAGAAATCCTGTGGTTATAGCTGCCCTTTCAATATTCAGCGTCTTCATCTTGTGCTTCAAAGAAACTTGGCGTGACCTGGCATGTTTGGAAGGGAGGGGAGGTAGCAGTGAAGAAAGACTAGCTTAGTAGGAAGTGCAGCTTACTGTTGTTTCCAGTTGGTATTTGGCTACTTGGTCACCAGTAAACTTTGACAAACTATGGCTTTAATTTATTATTTTTATTTTTGTAGAAGAGGAACATGATGCCTTCCAAACTACTGCCAACCAGGAGCTGTCTCCATTCCACATCGTGGCTTCCAGGAGGCGTCCCCTGAGCAGGACTTATTCACGAAAAAAGCTGCTCAGCTGAAGTTTGGAGCCAGAACACTATGGGAAACTTTGCATTATATCCCAGCTGTACAACATACTTTTCCACAAGGACCTTTTGATGCTGGACTGGAGCTGTCGTGTTCATAGGAGACTAGATGCAGGCATATGACAGTGGAAATAAGGACTACACTAAAAGGTGGATTTTTAACCTCAGTTGCAGCATCTCTCCATCCAGTCAGAGCCTAGCTCTGTCTTTTTGGCACTTCTCCTGCAGGTGGTAGCTGAGTTCTGCAGTGAAGGTTCATTTCTGCTAGATGAAGAGGGAGAATTGTCAATTTTCTACAGGTTTCTTGTAAAATAAACTAAAGTGAATTTTCATTGTGTACTTGCATTCTAACCCCATGAAGACAGCAGGAGCTGTGATTCTGTGCCTGAGACAGCCTATAAGGGGCTAAAATTGCATTATTATTATAAAATTGCTGAGGGAGGGGAACCCTAATCCATCCCACTCCTACCAGCCTGGTGCCAGTGCCAGCAATAGATGCGCAGAGCCTGGAGAGGAGTCTCAGGGCAGCAGGAGAGCACCTGAAGAGCAGCATAAAGGCATTGCAGCCAGTCAGCTTCATTGGGGGCCCAACTTAAAAGCCTCTATCCAAATGCATGTAGCATGGGGCATAAACAAGAGGAGCTAGAAACCTGTGCACACCTGCAGGGCTACGATCTTACTGGCGCCATGAAGCTGTGGTGGGATGGCTCCTAGGACTGGAGTGTTGGAACAGAAGGATACAGGCTCTTTGGGAAGGACAGGCAGGGGAGCTGAGGTGGGGGGTGTTGCCCTTTATGTCTGTGACCAGCTGGATTGCATGAAGCTCTGCCTGGGGTTGGAGGAGGAGCTGATTGAGTTTAGGGGTCAGGATTAAAGGGAGGGCAGGGACAGGAGATGTTATAGTGGGGGTCTGTTACAGGCCACCCAACCAGGAAGACCAAGCAGACAAGGCCCTCTACAGAGGTAGGAGCAGCCTCATGCTCACAAGCCCTGGTCCTCATGGGGGACTTCAACCACCATGATACCTAGTGGAGGGACAATACAGCAGGGCATAAGCAATCCAGGAGGTTCCTGGAGTGCGTAACTGATAACTTCTAAGTCATAGAGAAGCTCACAACTAGAGGTGCTATGCTGGACCTTGTTCTCACCAACAGCGAGGGGCTGGTGGGGAGTGTGAAGCTCAAGGGCAGCTTTGGCTGCAGTGACCATGAAATGATGGGGTTCAAGATCCTTAGGGCATTGAGGAGGATGTGCAGCAAGCTCATTACTCTGGACAGCAAGAGAACTGACTGGCCTCTGCAAGGGTATGCTTGGCAGAGTAGCATGGGATAAAACCCTGGAGAGAAGAGGGGCCCAAGAAAGCTGGCTGTATTTTAATTAATATTCAAGGATATTATATTTCAGTTGATATTCAAGGATCACCTCCTCCAAACCAAGGAGCAATGCATCCAGGCAAAGAAGTAGTTGGCAGGAATGCCAGGAGGCCTGTGTGGATGAGCAAGGAGCTCCTGGACAAGCTCAAGCACAAAAAGGAAGCCTACAGAGGGTAGGAGAAAGGACAGGTAGCCTGGGAGGGGTATGGAGAAACTGAGCAGCCAGGTGTCAGATTAGGAAGGCCAAAGCCCTGATAGAATTAAATCTGTCCAGGGACATCAAGGGCAACAAGGAAAGATTCTATAGATATGTCAATACTGAAGGGAAAATGTGGGCACTCTCCAGAAGGAAATGGGAGACCTGGTCACTGGAAATGTGGAGCAGGCTGAGGTATTCAATGACTTTTTTGCCTCGGTCTTCAAGGCCAGGTTGGACGGGGCTTTGAGCAACCTGATCTGGTGGAAGGTGTCCCTGCCCATGGCAGCGGGGTTGGGACTAGATGATCTTTGAGGTCCCTTCCAACCCAAACCAGTCTGTGATTCTACTACTAGCTTGGAAGGGATGAGTTTTCCTTTAGGATAGCAATCTCTTTGTGCATGGCAGGGTATTGGGGAAGTCACCCCAGTGTCTAGTGAATGCCGAGGAGGCAGAAAGCTATCAAGATTGTATGAGTTCATCCTGAAACCAGGGCTGGCAAGGCAGAAATTTGTTACATGGCTTTGAAGGGCTAGATGGTATTGAATGGAATTTATTTCCTCGAAACACTATTTGTTGTAGGAAAAACTGACCCATTTCCTTCTGCCAAGAGAGGAGGAATAGGGTGCTTACTAGTGATTGTTTTGCTTGTGGGAGGTGCCCCTCCTTCAGGGATGTAGACTGATATACAAGCATGGAGTTTCAACACTACTACTTACTTCAAGTAGGATGGATTCTTTTATCTGCTGAAGATTTTTGTTTTCAACAGCAGAAAGTAAAAGCTCTGAACTTAAATCTTGCATGGCTCAGCCATATCCAGAGCATTCAGTAATCACACTTCTACCGGCAAGATCAGTTATGCAGGAAGATTCTACTTCAGATGCTGGCTTTCAACTTTGTGTATTACTTCCCAGATAGTTGTGGTAGCAGTGCCCCTTGTGATTTCATGCTGAAGCAGTGGCTTGCTTTTTGGGGTCAGGGAGCCAAGGGGCCATGCTTCCCCCCTTGCCCTTTCTTAAAGCAGGTGCATGGGCTCTCATTTCTTGCTCTGCCAGAGTTAAACTTATGTCCCCCTTCCTGTGGTGGCATCAGTGTTAAGAAGTTGCAGGATTGTATTTCATCTCCCTTACATCCAGAGTGGAATTTTTCCCAAGAGTAAGAAAATGCTGCTTAAATCAGCTTATAGGCTGGACCAGAAAATGGCACCAAACCAGGGTTGCTTTTATCGTGGATGCTTCAGACAATTCTGCTGCTGTCTGGAGATGCTTTTCCTGCAGCAGCTCAATCTAGGAAGCCTACCAGCTCTGACTGAGCACTTACAGAGCAGGTACTTAAACATTAAGGCAACACTGTGAGAGCAGCTGAGCTCCCATGCAGTAAAGTTTATACAGAACTCCTTTTTTTCTACATACCTAAAGTGACAACAGGAGCCTCTGACAAGTGACTGATTCATTAAACTCACTCTGCTTTATTAGAAAAGTTACAGTAGAAATGTAAAAAAACCCAAAAAGTTACTAAAAAAAAATAGAAACATCTATGTATAAGTTCTGCAGAACTGCAGACCATTTCCCTCAGAGGCTGCTAGGGCTGAGGAAGCCCTGCAACAGAGGTTTCCAAGCTGTAAACAAGTTTTTAGTGTTATGAGGCCAGGGTGGAAGGTATCTATGTCCCATTTCTCAGTGTTTAACCTGCTGAGGGTGCAGGAGGTAAGGTGTCCAGTCAGCACTGTCTTGACTGGCAGCAGCGTGGAGAAACATTGGCTGGTGCTTCTGCACCTTACATGCTTACTTCCCTTAGGATGAAATTCATGTCTCTTTCTTCCTCAGGCCTCTGAAATGTAACAGGTTGGTTTGGCTGCCGACCAGGCTCAAACACGACACCAGGCTAGCCTGAGGGGCAGGAAGGCTCTTAAGCTCACGCCAGCAATATCTGCTCCTCCCTGCCCTGTGCCAGGTAAGCGTTAAGCCTGTGTCTAGAGTGGGTTTTTCCTGACGTCTATCATTGCTGGGTGGTAAGGCACTGGGGTCGCGTTGAGGCTGGCTCTGCGCAGCTCCCGGCGGGGCTTGGAGGCCGGAGCGAGGCTCCGTGGCGGGTGTACCTCGTGGGGCTGCCCCGCTCTCAGCAAGTGCTCCGCATCCCTCTGCCGAAGGTCCCCGGGGCTGTCGTTGGGCAGGGAGGAACGCCTCCACGTTGATGGCAAAGGGGCATGCACCAGGTCCCTGCTCTCATCCCTGACCCGATGGCTTTCTTCAGCAACTGCCAGAGGCACGGGCTGTTCCCCAAGGCTGGATTCCTCGCAGGTCCCGAGTGCAGTGGGAGCTCTGTCCCCGGCCCCATGAATGCTTCTCTCCATCCCTGCTTGGAAAGATTGGCGGTACAGTGAGATGAGGATCAGGATCTCTAATTCTCTCAGCAAAATCGGTGCCTGTAGAACACTTGCTCAGGGCCAGCAATGACCAGCACCCACATTGCTCCTGACTCTTCTGCCAGGGAAAAGAATTTAAACTCTCCTCCTTTTAATGTGGTAGGAACAGCAAAGCCCCAGCCTGGGTTTCCTCTCACCTTTGGCCTGTCCAGGATGGAGGTTCATGTTACTCAGCCTCTGGTTCAGCTCCTGATTTGCCCACATATAACGGCTCAGCTCCTTTTCCAGCACCTGAATCCTTGCCTCATACTGCAGTTTGCTGCTGGCCAGCCCCTCATCCATGTGCTCTACAAGAAAAAACAAGGTCATTTCAAGCTGCAAGCCCTGCAAAAGACGAAAGCAGTGCCACTGCTGCCTGTTTCAGGAGCTGGGTGGTTACCACGGCTCTGCTGGAGCAGTAGTTGGATGTTCTGCTCGTGCTCCTTCTGCTGCAGGGTGAGCTGGCGGTCCATCTCCAGGCGCTGCCGCTCCACAGCCGCCTCCAGCCAGTACACTAGCTGCTGCTGCTCCTCCAGCTGCATCTCCAGCTCCGAGAAGGCAATGTGCTGCCTGTGCTGGTCCTCTCGCAGCGTCACCACCTGGTCAGGGCCCAAGAGCAAGAAACATCTCAGCTCCTTCAGAGCCTAGCAGCTTTCCTGCACCACTGAGGCTGATCAAGTTAGTTTTTTGGTACAGCGTACAAAGGTTAGTAGTTCCAGGATGTCACAGTTGCTTTGCAGAGGGAAGGGCAACGTGGGGCTGCACTGACGTGGCAGAGACACCACAGGGATCTAGGCATCCTATGACTAGTTCAGCCTCTCTCCCAGGTGTTGGGACAGGTGGGGATCATGGTGCTGTGGCTTTGTGGCCTGACTTTACAAGGCAAAAGTACAGTAGGAGGCAGGCAGAAGGCTTGAGGCAGAGGAAAACAGGAGTTTGGTCAGATACTGCAGTTCCCACCAGCACAGAGGCCAGTTGTCTCGCACCTTGTCAAAGTACTTGCAGAGCAGAGCTCGGGTCTCGGAGGAGGAGAGGTAGCTGAGCTTGGCCATGAGGTTCATCTCGCACTGGGACAGCAGGCTGGCTGAGGCCCGCAGGACTCGTTGCCTGCACGTGATGGACTCATTCTTGTACTCGATGGCTGCATCCAGAGCCTCAATTGCCTCGTCCAGCTGGAACAAGATCCGTTCTTCCTGCCAGGGCAGAGCTGCAGTTACTAGGGAGCAAAGGGTTCACTGTCTCACCCTGCCTTAACCTCCCTTGTCATCTCAATAAAGCTGGCAAGGAGTTGGGATACACACAGTCTGGGGGCAGGGGGGAGCATCTGCTAACAACCCCATGCTCAGGTCTTTACTTCTCTCTTACTACCTCATGCTCTTGCAAGCAGAGCAGCTCAGCCCAAGAAACGAGGTACCTCTGGGGACAGCAGGGTGCCCTGACGCAGCTTGTTGTCGAGCTCCAACCTCTGTTTGAGCAGCTGGTCCTTCTCCTGGCGCAGGTTGTTGATCTCCTGGCGGATCTGCTGCTGGTCGTGGGCACTGCCATGGCGCAGCTGCCCGTTCTTCTCAGTCAGCTCCTTTTCCAGGTGCTCCAGGCGGCTGGACACACGTACTATGTCATCTGTCAAGGCCTGCAGCAGAAGATGCACAAGGGGATCTGCTCTAGTCAGGCCCTCAGCCCCTTTCTATTCCCTCCATAGACTAAGTGACCTCACACCCAAAAAACCAAGGGCTATCAAACCAGCTGGCTCAGCAGCACAGCACGAACAGGCTCTTCTGTAGAGGCAGATTTCCTACCCACTTCCCACCACCACCTCATCCTGGACTGCAGCCCTCCAGCCAGACCCAGAATAGCACCCAGGTCTTCCAGCCTCCCACCTCTGCTAGAAATCAAGCAAGAGGTTGAGGTGTCACACTCCCGTCCCACCTGGTTGGAGCGCAGTCGTTTGCTCTCTAGGCCGTTCTTCTCTTGGAGGAGGGCTTCCTTTTTGGCCACGATATCTTCCCGCTTCCTCAGCTCATCTTCCAGCTCATCCAGGGCCCGGCGCTGCTCGAGAACTTTATCCATCTCCATGTCCAGCCACTTCTTCTGTTCCTCGATTTTCTGATGGAAGGAGAGGCAAAGGGCATGTATGTGCATGCAGGCAGCAGTAGCAATGCCCAGGACTGCTAGACTGAAGAGCAGTGGGGTTGAGATCAGAGCAAGAACCTCAATTCCATCTCTGCTAACCCCTGTAGCCCAGACTTCACTGATTTTATCCTTCCAGCTCCTCCAAGAGGCAGAGCTAAGCTAAATCCCCAGCTGCCAAGGAGTCCTTGGGGGCCACATCTGCCACCATCCTTCTGCTAACAGACAAGATTTCACAGCTTCTTTACCAATGCTAGTATTTAGAAGGGACCCTGTTCCTGGGGTTAAGACAAGATCTAAGTCTAGGGCTACTAGATGCAAGTGACATTATGGACTGTCCTCCTCAAGGGCGGGATGGGCTATGTCCCATCTCAAGCTGAGGTCCCTGCCTCCAGATCTCCCCTGTCATCCTGCCATCTGTCAAGCAGTCCCCTTCCAGCAGAAAAGAGGAGGAAGGCACACTCTGCCTGTACCTGCTGCTGCTCCAGGCTGATCACAGAGCCATTGCTGCCACTCCGCCGCTTCCTCTGGAAAGCTGCGATTTCCTCTGTTTTGATGCGAAGGATTTTCTGGTGCTGCTCATGCTTCAGTTCCAGTTCCTGTGTGGGAAAGAGCAACTGTGAGCGTTGAGGGGGTGGAAGCTGTTTACCCTACAGCCAGGGGCTGAGGGACGGGTTATGTTCTCTGCTAGCTCTTTGGATACTCTTAAAAAAAATCCTCTCTCCATCTCCTTGTTCTCCAAGACAATCACAGACCCCATGCAAGGTACTCTGGCCTGCCCAGCGGCTTTCAGAGCCCGCCCATCATCATCATCCTCGCAAATACCGCAGCAGCCCAGCTGCTCCTGCCTGTTCCTACCTTGACTCGGTGCTGCCGCTTATTCACCTCCGTCTCCAGCCGCCGTTTCTGCTCGCTCTCCTCCCGCAGCCGGCGCTGCAGCTGGCCCTGCTGCCGCCGCATCAGCTGGATGTTCCTCTCCAGCTCCTGCACTCGCTTCTCGCTCTGGGCCGAGAGCGACACCAGCCTCTCCGTCGCCTGCTTCTTCTTGCACAGAACCTGCCGGAGGGCGAGAGCTGCCCTTGGGCTCGGCCTCTCCCCCATGCCCTTTTGCAGAGATGCCCCCAGCTCTGCCCCTGCCCACCTCCCTGGCTGGGCAGAGCCCTTCCCACTCACCCGGGCCTTGCTCTGCGCGGCCGCCACGCGCGTGCGGTACTCCTGCAGCTTGCGCTTCTCCCCAGGGTCCCACGGCTCTTTGGCCTCCAGTTCCTGGAGCTGCTTCTGGCTGTCGCTCAGCTCTGCCCGCACTTGCTCTGCCTCCTGCTCCAGCTCGCTGATCTTCTGGCAATACTGCTTGTTCAGAGCCTGGGCGTCCTTGCCTGCAACACACACCCATCCGCCATGGCCTCCAGGCCCTCCTCCCTCACAGCCAGGATCCCGATGAGGGATGGACCTTTCCTCCCTCTCCCCAAGTCCTTCTGGCTACAGGGAAGCTACAATGGGAAGGGTCTCTGTCAGCCAGAGGGATGGAGAAACAGAGCTCTGCTGCCTACAGGAGAAAAGACTGAGGACAAGCAACACAGGGAGGGAAGATGAGGATGGGAGTAGAGACTGAGCATCACGACTAGGAGGGGATTTCATGGTTGCATGTTCCTGCCAGCAACTCTGTACCTGTTTTAATGAGCTCCGTGATCAGCTCCTCCTTCATGCGGATGTTGATCGCCAGCTCTCGGATCTTCTGCTGTGCTTGCACCAGCCTCCACCCCGAGTCCTTCCCTGGCAGGCGCTCCCAGGGACCAAGTAGCGGCTCCCGCCTCCTACAGACCTCTGCAACACAGATTCCCAAGTAAAGAAGGTCCTATTTTAACAGCTGGATGACACGATGACAATCCGATCTCAGATCTGTAGCCAAGATCTGGCACACCATTGCCCAGAATCACCTGCAGCTTCTGCCAAAACATGGCTCTTGCCAGACCCCAGCAATTCAAGTTTCTCTTTAACAAAAGCAGCTAGACTGTCATCTGCTCCATTTTTGTCCTCTAGACTCATCCAGGTGGGACATCAACAGCACTCAACAAAGCACCGCCAGCCTGAGGGAGACTGTCCAACAACCTATGGTTTCCACTTGCCTTTTGACAGCTCCAGCTGTTCCTCCTGAATCAAGTGGGCATTGCCTCCACTCAGCTCCTCGCTCAACTTGCAAATCTCTTTCTTGCTCCAGCTTTGGATCCCATTTCTAGAAGGAACAGCAAATTCATCAGTTGGGTTTGGACACTGCTGTTTCCCAGTAAGGACCCTCATGTTCCACAGGCTTCAGAAGGAGATAGAAATAGTAGCTGTGCTCAGGAAAGATGGTAATTAGCTCCCCAGCAAGCAGGCAGCTGTCTCAGCAGAATCGCTGACCCCAGAGGCAGCATTTGCTTCTACATCCTACATGAGAACAACTGCTAGGGCACTGCATGGTGCTGGCACAGCCGCAACTCACCGGCGCTGGGACAGGGACCGTTTCTGTTCCCCATCCTCCTCCTCTCCCGAGGACAACTCTAATGGCTTCTCCAAGTCCTGGCTGAGCTGCCTCCTCAGTGCTGCATCTTTGTTCTCTGGATTGTCAGCCGGGCACTGTGCATGGTTCAGGTGCCAGCCTGCCAGGTCCTCCTCCTGGAAGGAGGGGTTGCTCTCAAGCTGCTGGTGCAGAGAATCAGAAAGAGAGGAAACATGCTGAGTGAGAGCTGGTGTTAGAAAAAGCATCTCTCAGCTGGGCATCACTGCTAGACATGAAGAAAAGCAACAAAATGAAGTTGAGCATATTTTCAGGAGAACTGTTGTGTTGCTAGACCCAGCTGTCTGCCCTTCTCCTGCCTCCTGTTGCTCAGATGCTGAGCAGATCTGGGACCCACCTGTAACATTAAAAGCCTCAGTTTTGAAGCTGGGCTGTTTTTGCCAGCATTGTGAAACTCTTTGGATGTGAACACAGAGCGTGGTCCTCTGGACTACACCTCTGACAAGATTTGTGTTCAACAGTGGGCCAAAAGCAGTTCCTACAGTGGAGGGCACCCAAGTGAAAAGGCAGAAGTTCCTCAACGGCACGGACTTGTGACCTCACCTTCCTGCAAAGGGCTCTTCCACTCTGCTCGGTAGGAAGGAGCCCCGAGTGAACCCCACTGGGGCCATGGGATGGGGCAGCATCCAGTGGGGCCGTGTGAGGTCTCTGGCAGGCGGTCACCAGGTGAAGGTTTTCCAGCAGTCCTGGCACACACAGGTTTGGCATTGCCATCTCCAAGCGCACATGCAGCTCTGAGATCTTATCCTGCTGCTCCTGCAGCTTGTCGCTCTAGGAAGCAATGAGAAAAATGTGGTTATGCACATATGGATCCCAGACCTGCTGCGGAGGAACCCGAAAGCCGGGCTGTGCTTTCCTGGGGAGGAATGGGAGGAGCAGGGCAGGTCCCTATAAAGAAAACACAGCCCAGAAATACCTGCAGCTTATACTGCTCCATGGCATCCTCCAGGGCAGCCAGGAAATCACGGTTCTCCTCCTCCAGGCGCTCCACTTGCCTCTGCAGTTTGGCCAGCTGCTCGTCTTTGATGGTCTCGCACCTCTTCTCAGTGTTCACCTGCCCTCCGAAATGTAAGAGAGGCAGCGTCAGCACCTACCCTTGTCCTTCCCTTCCCATGCTGGACTCTGCAAGGAAACAGCAGCTCTGCAAACCCAGATTTTAGCTGCAGAATAAATCTCTTGGCTGCAGCTGAATCCAACCTCTCCCTGTCTGCTCTGAGGACCACATCATTTTGCCTCCCTACAGCCTCTTGGCCGGGCTGCTTCTCTGCTCCCTCTCCTGACCCTTCCACTGTGCCGTGCTGAGGCTGCTGTGTTTAGTGGCCATCAGATGAACCCCACCTCAGAGCTAAACCACCCCAACTGTTACCTGGGCTTTTGCTAGCTTTAAGCCTTGTGCCTCAGGGCTCTGGTCTTCCATGGAGGTGCTCTCGATGCCGCTATCCAGCCCGGCTGAGGTCAGCTCGCTCCTCTCGCTCTCTACCGCACACAACCACTCCTTAACCCGCAGGATCTGCTCCACCGTCAGGTTACTGTCCTCCTGCAGCTCCATCAGCAGCCGGTACGCAGCGTCGGTGCAGGTCCGGTAATGTGCGCACTCCGCCAGCAGCCGAGCCGTGGGGTCCGGCGCGCATCGTTTGGCGGTGGCCGAGCGGTTGATGATACGGGTCTCGGAGCGGTGACGCTGTTCCAGCGCCTTCTGCAGGTTCTTTATCTGCAGGTGAAGCTCTTCGACATGCTCAGTCTCCTTGCGGCAGTTCACCACGGCCTTGTTCTGGATATTTTGAGCCCGGCTGGCGTAATTCAGTGTGTTGAGGCTCTCATCAAAGTCGGAGGAGGATGGGCTGACACAGGCTATCATCACGGTCTGGGCATTCCCCCCCAGAGAGTCTTTCAGGATCCTAAGGATGAGCACAGTGATTAATATAGCTGAAATACAAAATAATGCAGGAACCAGGAGGTTTCCAATGCTATTCAGAGGTTAAGCCCAAGGAAAACGATATTTTTGCTCTGTGGCCGGTTTGGCACTAGTGAAGTAAGCAGAATTATTAAGCAGAGGAATAACAGTTCATGCTGTGACAAGTTTCCATCTGAGTAATTCCTGAGGCTGGGAGCTCCCCGACTCTGTGAATCGCTGCTAGGCACGTGCTGCATGGAAACCTGTTGGAGATTGCAAAGGCCACCTACTTGAGTTAAAAACTAACTGCAGACCATCAAACCTGCCTACTGGCACCTTTTTTATTTGCTGCCAGGCAGGAAAGGCAGGATAACCCACGATGACACCCCGTCTCAGTTTCAGCAGCATGACTTCTGCAAGCCTCGACTTCTGCAGCACTGCACTGAGCCAGTCTGTCATTTCTATCCTGGTCTCACTGCTCCTCAAGCTTCCCTACGTGAAAACCTGTGTGCAGGGTAGACCTGTAAAGTGCTGTGAGGCACAGCAGGTCAGCTGGCCCCATACCATCAAGCAGTCGGTCTGAGAGCCCCGGTTTGAGAGCAGAAGGGACAACTGGCCCTGCAAGCTCCTTTTGGCTAGTGGGGTGACTCTGCCACCCAACCTGGCAGGCTGGGCATGGGAAAGGCTCGGAGAAGCATCACCTCCCTCCTGCTGGGCCAAGAGCCCATGAGATGTGGGGGGCCCAGTCCCAGCTGTACCTGGTGATTTTGGAGTCCCTGTAGGGGATGTGGCTGCTCTTCCTCCGAGGGTCTCCCAAGGCACTGATGACATTGCCCAAGGCCAGGAGGCCACAGTTGATCTGGATACTCTCCTTCAGCCTCTCCCCTGTGTTTCCCGTCTTCACAATTCGCTCTGACCCTGCCAGGTCCACGAAGTGAAACTTGGAAACCAGGACCTGGCCCGAGGCAGGGATGGAGGTGGGGTGGTGGTGTAGGGGGAGGCGGCCAGGCCCCCGCCGCTGTTCCATGGTCACCGTGAAGATGGTGTGCGAGCGGCTCGACTGCCTGTTGACGTGGGTAGCTCCTGTGTGCTTGGCTGTGTTCCCCATCTCCAGCAGGCTCAGCACCTCATCTAGCCCTTCCACTTCTGACTCCTTCACACCGCAGAGCACTGCAACAGCAAACGGAGCTGTGGCTGGGAGGGACGGGCTGCCCGAGGACACAGCTCCTCTGCACAGCCTGCTGCCACTGTGCCACACACAGACTGGCTTTCCCCACCAAACAGGAGTAAGCACGGCAATCTGCTGCTGGGGAGGGACGGAGGGAGAAGACCTCCCATCAGGGATAGATAGCCCAACCCTGGCCTGGGGTACAGGGAGAAAAGGGAGCCCGTGTGCAGCCACACATACCAATGTTCCCCTTGTCGTCCTCCCGGATCTGGATGTCTTTGCTGGCTGTATCCACCTGTAGCAAGTCCCGAAACTCCTCCTTGTACACCTCCAGGTAGGACACTCGGACCGTGTAGTCGATCAGGTCATTCTCATCGATGAGCCTGAAGGTCTCAGCCATGGCTCGGGGGATGATGCCCTGCTCATCCTCGTTGATGGAAGCTGGCAGAGAGATGCACATGGTCACGGGGAGCAGTGACTGCCCGGGGAGCCCGTGCTGGCCAGGGACAGAGCCGTGGGCAGGAACCTGCCGGCAGCACATGTGTCAGCTGGAAACGAGCAGCCTCACAACCTTTCCACAGCTCAGCCTCCGCAGCCCAGATTAAACATCCCTGCGAGTGCTTCTACACCACAGGACCTTGGGGCAAATCCTCTCCCACTGCTGTGCTGGATTCCAGCAACGTTGCTGGCTTCCAGTCCTTCCTCAAGAAGGAAAAGGCACTTTAGCATTTCAAGCAGGTAGCAAACACCACGCCTGCAGCTACAGCGTGCTGTCCTTTGAAGCCAACACAACTCCACAACCTCTTCCAGCTCCAAGATTTTTTTTTTTCTGTGCTTGCAGCCTGCTTGTATCTGGCCACAGCACTCCGCCGTCTGATTTTTAAATGGTTTTGCTTTTGTCTCCAACAGGTGTGTAGAAGGGCCATCCCCAAATTTGGTACAATGATAGCCTGAACTGAGAAACTGAAAATAAAGGTAAATCGAAGATATGGAAACAATGTAGTGTTTACAAACTATGCAATTAACTAAAGCTGACTGAAACATTTACAGTGTGTCCTCTGTAAGATACCATAATACCATTAAGCCACCGCTGACAGGAAGGAAAGATTTCCTCTTTCCCTGTTTCCTTCACATTACCAAACTAACAGGATTAATCCCTGCAAACCTCCCTCTGCTTAGGGTTTATTTCAGGACAAAGCTGGTAGATCCAAGCCAGCTGAAGGTATCAGTGTTTTAGGGAGATCACCACCACCTCCAGACCAGACAGGGTCCTCTCGTTTGTCCTGCAGTGGTCGTGGAGCAAACCTACACGCTGTGATCTTCGAGGATGTGTTGTCCACGGTGGGGGTGGTTACAGCAGCGTGGGTGGCGGGGTGGGGATGGGTGGCAGTTGGGCTGGGCCAGGGTGCTGAGAGGGTGGATGATGTTGGAAGTGATGGTGAGGTCAATGCATTGGGGTGGAGAGAGGAAAGCTGACAAAATGGGTAGGGCTGGTGGCATGGGTGAGGTTGGTGGGTTGGGAGGGATGGCTGGGCCGGGAGAGAGGGAGGGAGAGAGGGAGGGAGGGAGGGAGGCAGGGATGGTGGGAGGGAGGGAAGGATGGAGGGAGGGAAGGATGGAGGGAGGGAAGGATGGAGGGAGGGAAGGATGGAGGGAGGGAAGGATGGAGGGAGGGAAGGATGGAGGGAGGGAAGGATGGAGGGAGGGAAGGATGGAGGGTGGGAGGGAGGGAAGGAGGGAGGGAGGGAGGGAGGGAGGGAGGGAGGGAGGGAGGGAGGGAGGGAGGGAGGGAGGGAGGGAAGGATGGAGGGAGGGAGGGAAGGATGGATGGAGGGAGGGAAGGAGGGAGGGAAGCGGCGATGGGGCGCTGGCGGGGAGAGATGCCGGTGGGACGGCGGTGCCGCCGCGACTCACCGACGCTGGCCTCCCCGATGGTGTAGGTCTTGCCGGAGCCGGTCTGCCCGTAGGCGAAGACGGTGGCGTTGAAGCCGCGGAAGAAGGCCCGCAGCAGCGGCTGGACGCAGGCCCGGTAGACGGCCGCCTGCCCCGCCGCCTCGGGCAGCACGGCGGCGAAGCGGAAGCGGCGGCGGCGGCCCAGCGCCACCTCCCCGGTGGCCGCGTCGCCCCGCAGGCAGGGCCGGTGGCCCCGCAGCGCTTCCCGGGGCAGCAGCGGCCGCACCCGCACCGCCACCCGCACCGCCGCCCCCTCCGCCGCCATGGCGAGGGGCAACGGGCAGCGGAGGGTGGGCCCGGCCCGGCCCGGCCCGGCCCGGCGCGCCGCGATGGCGTCAGGCGGCTCCGCCCGGCGCCGCGGAGCGGGAGCGGCTCAGCGCGGGCCCGTCCTCACCGCCCCGCGGGCAGAGAGGCCCTGGGGGAGGGAGGGCGAGGAGCGGGCGGTGGGGGCTGCCGTGGTGTGGGGAGTGGGGAGGGGGACACGGGTGGGCTGCAGAGGCGGTGCGGCAGGTCGGGGGCAAGGGGTTGGGGGGGGGGGGGGGTCCCGAGACGCTGCATCGCTCGTGAGATGCTGTGTCGCTCACAAGAGACTCCATCTCTCCCCGGGGTGACCCGTCACTCGTGAGGCAACGCTCCATCACCTGCGAGATGCTCCATCGCTCGTGAGACAGCGCTTCACCGCTTGTGAGGTGGTGCTCTGCTGCTCGTCGGACAATGCTCTACCACCTGTGAGATGCTCCCACCCCTTGCGAGACGACGCTCCATCACTCGTGAGGGGCTCCAGTGCTCGTCAGACAACGCTCCACCATCCACGAGACGGTCCGCAGCTTGTGAGACGCTCCTCCGAGGCGTTTCCGCGATCACCGTGGGGAAGGTCCATGGTCACCGTGGGGAAGAGACAAGGGGCTGCGTGGCCCTGCCAAGGGGCGACGTGCTCGAGGCGTGGGCGCGGGCAGCCTCCTGGGATGCACTTTGAGGAGCAGCTGGTGCAGACAGACAGTGCTTCCCAGCCGCGCTGGGGGCTGGCAGGGCCAGCTCTGGGCACTGACATATGTTTGGGATGATCTGAGTGATAACATAAAAGTTTTTCATCTGGCCGCCTGCAGCTCCCGCTGCACCGCCCCTGCGGCTGCAGGGGGGCGGTGGGAGGGAGGGATATGGCCCTCTCGGGTCCCCTGGGTGCCGTGGGAAGCGCTGGCTCCTCGGCTGCGCGGAGAGGAGTCGCACACGCCGCCGGCATCGCCGGCGAGGCACGGCTGTGCTCAGCATGGGGCTCCGGCTCCCGCTGCGCCGGAGCACCAGCTTCACCCCCGACCACTCTGCCCTCGTGGAGATGCCGGGCCCCACCACCCTGAAGATGGAAGCAAACGTCCTCGTTATGGGAGCAGACAACGTGGGGAAATCGGGTAAGAACCGACCGTGAGCTGGGAGCAGGGGGGTTCCCTGGCAGGGAGACCCATTTCTCTCCCCCGAAAAAAGGCTGAAAACAGCAGTGGCACTTGGAGAACAAGCTGCAGAGAGCAGCCCTGTGGAGCAAGATGGTGAGATGGGGCAGAGCTTTTGGGTGCAGCCGTGGTTCGAGGTGGGGAAGCTGAGCACAACCTTGTAAGCAGCAGGTGAGCCACGGGGGAAGGTGTTTTCCACGGAGCTGCAATTTGCTGGTGCTCCGGTTCACGCTGCGCCTCTCCTCCGCTCGCAGACCTGCTGGTGGCTGGGAGAAAACCAGAGGTCATTCCTGCTGGTGGGAGTTTATGGGAGGATGGTGCCTGACTTTGCTCTGGATTTAAAAAGGAAAATCCTTCAGGTTTAGGGTTATTCTTATTCTTATCCTTCCCTCTGCAGCTCTGACTGTGCGTTTCCTGACCCGGCGCTTTATTGGGGAGTACGGAGACATGGGTGAGTGCCAGGCCAGGGCCAGGCTGGTTCCTGTTAGGGATGGGGGTTAGGAGGCGAGTCTGCTTCTGCCCGTGGGATTTCATTGCTTTTCATCCTCTCCTGCCTTTCACCAGAGCCTTTACCTGCTCCTGGGGGGCTCAATGGTTGCATTTGTTCAGTGACCCATCTTTTTGCTCCAGAACTGCTTCTCTGGGGTGCAAAAGGTGCTGGGTGTCAGCTGGTGGGACCAGTGTCCCTGGACTGAGCACGGAGGTGGAGGCAGAGTGGGGCAGTCACAGCTGTGGAGGCCACCGTGCTCCAAGTGATTGTTGCTGTACGAAAAGAGCCCCTGGACCTTGCCAGGGTGGACGTGATGGGCTTGTCCCCAGGAGGAGGAGATCTGGGTTGAAGGAGCTATCTCTTGGGTCTGTGAAGATGATGATTTTTTTGGTTTTTTTTTTTTTTTTTTTGGCAGAATTCATCTACAGCCACAACCTGACTGTGGATGGCCGAGAGATTCTCTTCCACATCTGGGATTTCCCCAATTCCCAGGTGAGAGGGGTCTGCTCCTGCCACCTGTTTTCACCCCAGGGACAAAAAAACCTCTACTAAAAGTTATGTATGAGGAACTGCAGGCTGGGAGCTCCAGCTGAGCAAAGTTCTCATGTCTGATTGTTTGTAGGCGACTGAACCCTTCTTGCCTGCAGAGCGCAGGGCAGCAGTGTTGCTGGCAGGGTAGCAATAGTCACTGTAGCCCCTGCTCCTTTGGCTGAGGACATTAGAGCTGAAGCACTAATATTACCAGCTGAGATTGAGCACAGGACTGTGCTAAGTGCTATTCTGAGGTTCCCATGCTGTTAGCACCTACAGCTGCATAAAAAAACCCCTTTCCTTTTCTTTTTCCCCAGGAGCAGGCAGATGAGGGCTCCTCAGAGAAGCGAATCCAGTGGGCAGACAGCTTTGTGCTGGTCTACAGCATCTGCGACCGTGCCAGCTTCAACATCCTGCCCCTCAAAATTCAGTTCATCAAGGCAGCCAAGGAGGGGCAGAGCCAGGAGAAGGTGCCCATCGTCATTGTGGGCAACAAACGGGACCTACACCACCAACGGGAGGTGTCCAGCGAGGAGGGTCGGCTCCTGGCCCTCTCTTTAGACTGTGGTTTCTACGAGGTCTCTGCAGCCGAGGCTTATCACGGGGCCCTCATGGTCTTCCATGGGCTGGCAGAGCGCATCCCTGACACCAAACTGGCACTGAGAAAGGGTACGGGGATCCGTGGGATCGTCAAGACCATGTCAGCTGTGTTTGCTCGTAAGCGAACGGACTCCCTCTGAGCTACGGCATGGGTGCTGCTTCTCTCTGTGCTGCCTGGACCAAGCCTCTTCCCTTGGTGCCCATGGAGATGGTGTGTGTGTTTCCATAAGTATGACGGGTTCCTTGCTGTCCTCTTCATGATGGGGTCTGGGTGTCCTGCCATACCCAGCCAGTGCAGCCGAGGGCTGTAGTGCTTTCCTCTTGGCTCAGTGACGGGGCAGAACCTCTACTCTTTGCTGTACCAGCTTTTTAGGTGCTTTCTGCTTTCTCCTTCCGTACTCCGCCACTGGAAACCACCAGGTGATTTTGCCACAGCTCTAGGCAGCGTCATCCCCAGCTCCTTTGGCAAGAGCTGCCTGGGCTGTCGGTGAGCAGGGAGGACATGCCGCTTCTGTGTGTCCACTGAGCTCCCTGTCCCCCTGCTCTTACCCTGGATCCTTATTGCCATTTAACGCTCATCAGTGTCCTCTCCAGTAACCCTGGAGCACCCATGAGCTGGCAGGGTGGGGGTTTCTCCACTGGGGAGCCACTGGCCGTTCCCATGTGTGCATCATTGTGTCAGAGTGTCCAGAGCCTGCGGCACCTGCCAACCCCAGAGGACCTTGGTGAGGGCTGCTGCCTCCCATCCCGCCCACCTTGCTTTTCAACCATCTTGCTCATGGTCCTCTCTCCCACAGCCTTTCAGCGAACGCAGCCGTTTCCCTTGTGCAAGCGCCATACCGGCTCTGCCTGGGAAAATGCAGGCTCATGGCTCATTCCCAGGATGGGGATCACACCGTGCGCCTTCCCAAGCTGCTCCTCTTGCAAGGCTGCCTGTCCCCGGGGAGGAGAGGAGGTGGGGAAAGGGGTTGCTGGCCTCATTGCTGAACCCTGCTGCTGCTGGGAGGTTTTTCCCTGCCTCTCCCCCAACCCTTCCCTCTGTGTGCCTGGGAAAGCAGTGTGTTGGAAGAGAGTTTGTATGTGCGGTACAGACACTGATTTGTCTGCTGTGTTCTTCTGGAAATGCAATAAATCATCTTTGGCAGGAAGCCCCAGCTCCTTGGAGCTGTGAATTTGTACTCGGGGCAGGGGAAGAGACACGTAGTGTGGTGGGCACGAGCACCCACTGTTCCTGCGTCACCGAGCCTAGGATGAGTTTCCCATACTTGTTCCCTTGGCCCTGGGTTGGGTGTCTCACCCCACTCTGCTCCCTCATTTTGGTGGCTCACTCTTGTAAGGCAGCTGAGGCAAGTGGCAGGTCGGGAAGGTTTATTACTGCAGTGGATACAACAAGATGTCGCGGGAAGCCAGGCAGTCCTGCGGGAAAGAGGGGCTCCAGGAGCTCCAACTGTTCTCACCAGTCTTCTTCCTGACCCCACCATCCGTCCCACCATCAGCTGGGGCTGGGTGCCCAGGGCTTTCTGAGTTCTGCTGGTCGGTGGGGTCCTTCAGCTCCTCCATTGAGGAGCAATCTGTGGCCAGGGACAGGCCCTGCAAGGCAGGGTGGAGGGAGGAAGGATGGGGAACCAGGCTTGCTGTGGTGATGTTTGACGGCTTTGCTGTCCTCTCTGCTCTGTCTCAGTGCTGTTCTTAACATGTAGCCCATCTAAGTCCACACTATCTGCTCAACAGGGACCAGGGCAGCCCAGTGCCAGGCCTGGCTGGTCCCTTTTTCTCTTTTTTGGTCTCATTGCTCTTTCCACATCTCCTTCGTCTCTCTGGTCCCACCTCCTCCTACCTTCTCCTTCCACTGACAGGGCTTTTGGCAGCCTTTACTTCCCCATCCTGACCCCCATGCACTCCAGAAGAAGACTTCCCATGGCATGTCTACCACCTCGAGCTCCTGTCCCTGTACATGGGTGTGTGTGGGCGGCTGGCAGGGGCCTGGGCAAAGCGTGCTGGGAGGGGCATTAGACGGGGCCGGGGTGCATTCGTCCTCCCCACTGGCTCAGTCTTTCTTGAAGGCAGGACTGTAGAGGTTGCTGTAGTAAGCCCGGCTGTACATGGCCTCGGGGCTGAAGCGGTAGGAGCCCTCGCTTACGCGCCTGTTGTAGGGGGCGAAGGCAGATTTCCGTGGGAGGGGGCACTCGGGCTCAAAGGCAGGGCTGCGGTAGAGGTTGTGCCGCAGGAAGAGGGGGTCCTCGAGCCCCAGGAAGGAGAGGGGGTGATGGCCGCGGTACAGCCGCCAGTCACCCCTCAGCTGAGATTTCTCCTCAGCAGTGGGGGTGGCAGGCTTGGCATCCTCCTCCTTCTGCTCTGTCTCCGGGCTGGGCTTGCTGCCTCCAGCTGCCTCCTCTTCCTTCACTGACTGCCTGCGGAGCTGAGAGATGGGGTGAGCACCCAGCCAGGCTGTACCTGCCTGCCAGCCTGGCTCTCCCTGTTCTACACAGCCTCCTCAAAACTAGGGGAACTTCAAGACAAGCCAATTTGCCCCCAGAGGGGTCTCTAGCAGAGGGGAGTGAGTGGCTCCAGCCCCCGGGCAATTGCAGTGGAGAGATGGTCCCAGGGGAGCAGTGGATTGGGGACACAGTCTCAGCCCAAACTTCCACCTTCCCAGGATTTTGTGGTCACACCCTGGCTTGGGCATGAATCACGTGAAGGTGCCACCACTGGCTGATCTGCTGGATCTATGGGGGGGACTTGCTGTCATGGCTTGGGAGGATGCTCAGGAGGGTGGGACTGAGGTGTCATCACAGCACCCCATCTTCCCACCCTGGTACCTCCTGGCAGAGCTATGGGGATTTTGTGAGAGGAGGTTGAGCAAAATGGGATTTGCTGCAGATGGACAGGACCTAGCTGGGGACAAACTCACCGGCACGTAGCTGTACAGGGTGCCCAGCAGATGCTTGGGAGCACTGACGAGTGTCCCCCCGAGAGCATCCATCGTCTCCATGGCCTTGGACAGCCTGCGGGGTGTGAAGAGGATCAACCCCTCCGCTGCGTCCCAGGCCACAGCCGGGACCTTCTTCACGCTGGAGATGCCGGAGGCGCAGGCGGTTTGCAGGTTGTGAGCCACGCTGCCCACCAGCCCGGGGTCATCCCCTGCCTGCCAAGAGAAATCAGATCAGCCACCAGCCCCGGCTCTCCATCCCCTCTGCAGCTCAAAGCCTGAGAGCTTTCAGCTCGCTGCTTTGCAAAAGCCACTGTGGTCCCTTGCAGCAGGGTTGCTGCTTCTCCTCCCCTCCGGCTTCGTCCCCCCCCCCCCCAGGGACCCTCTGCCCTGGGCTGCGTTTCCGCTGCAGGCAGAGGCGAAGGGCAGTGACGCCGACCTGCTGCTTCCCGTCCCCATGTCCCAGTGGAGCCGCTGCTGGGGACTATTCCCAGCCCCGCCAGCTCACACTGCCCCTCACTGCTGGGACCACGGAGGGAACCTTTTAGGGGTGTTCAGGGGCTCAGTAGGGAGCTCGATGCTGACCCCCCCCACAACAGCAAAGGAGTCTTGAATATACAAGCCAAGGGTGACCTTGCCTGATGCAGAGGCTGCCCACAGCTTCCAGCTTTGGGGAGTCAGGGAAAGGGGCTGCTGGGGCTACCCCCCCTGCCAACCTTGTCTCCTCCAAGCTGCAGCTGAGGGTTCAGCAGGGACAGAGGACTGGTCCCCAAGGATGCTTTGGGGCACCCCTGGCTTGCTGCCCCCGTTTTCTCCATACCTCTTTGGTGTCGTTGCTGTCTTTCTTCCCTGCCTTCTCCTGCTTTTGCTCTGGCACCTTGCTCTGCCGTCGGCTCAGCCAGCCGGCCGTGGTGCTCTGCCCATCACCGTGGACCCGTGGTGCCTCGGGTACACTCGGCTTGGCCAGGCTGCCCTTGAAGAGGAGCGAAAAGCCACCGCTTGGAGGGAGCTGGCAGGTCCCATCCACCCCACCCTGCTTAGCCTGAGCATTTCACGGGTGCCCTGGGGTGCAGAGGGAGCAGAGGGGTTCATTTATGCATGTGGGAAGAAATCCTGAGGGCAGCTGGGAGCTCTGGGATTTTGGCACAGGCCAGGGAAGGGGTTTCCACCGCATCACTGGGTGGGAGAGGCACCTCCTCCTCCCCATCCTCTCTGGGCCTCTGCAGGGGCTTTTTGCTTTAGGAAGGATGTTATGGCAAGGCCATAAATCAACAATATACATTGGGAGATGGCTAAAAATAACTTGTCCCACTAATATGGTACAAGATTGTGTGTGAACATGCTGCGGGAACTGCCAGCCCCGGCTCATCCTGCTGAGGCGGGGAGGAAACAGCAGTGCTCACCACTCTGCTCTCAGATGTGCTCCAAGGAGCCTGAAATGTCTCATCCAAAAGCAGAGTCAGCCCGCAAGAAGGTATGGGGGAGTGGGAACCCGGCAAGTGGGTTTTGTCACTCACCAAGATGGGGATCCAGGTGGCCAGTTCCTGCCCTTTGGCTTTGGCACGCTGGAGGCCTTGGGTGGTTTGCTGGTAAGCGCGGTGGGAGACGGTGCTAACCAAGGCACCGATCCGGCCCAGGGTGCTGGGAGCACTGGGAGCACTGGGAGCACTGGGCTGCTGCTGGGAGACCTTTGCTGCTGACCCACTTGTCTCTTTGGGCTTCTGAACTAAAGGCAGAAAAGCACAAGCAGAAGAGCAGTAGGGGGTTTACATCCCGGTGGGACAGCCACAAATGAGGTGTCACCTCACATATAGCCAGCCCTTGCCAGGCACCCTCAGAGGGGATTTGGCCATCAGAACTACCTGTTTCTTCGTCCTCCTCCGGCAGCAGGTACTCCATCAGCTTCTCCAGCCCACCCAGGGCTGTGTCAACCCCTGCGGCTGCCATCTGGCTCACCGAGTTCCTCCTTGTGTACCTTGCTGTCGTTTCCACTGTGCTCTTGGTGGCCTCGTAGCCCTCCGCTGCCAGTTCCATGATCTTATCCATGGAGTTGCCAATGGTGCTTTTGGCACTTTGGAGGGGGGTGGAGATGGTGCCCTTCAGTTCAGACGCGAGCTGCAGGCAGAGAGATGGAGAGCAGCCCTGCCGGTGTGCTTGGGGTGCCATGGGACAGCTGGAGGGACCATGGGGACCCCAGCCATGACCATGCTGGTAGACAGCCCCAAGAAGGGCACTCACCAGCCTGGCAGGGATGGGACATAGGACACTGTTGTCCCATATTTAGGAGTGCCCCAACCATCCCCTGGGCTGCAGGAGCCCCTGGAGGAGCTGTTGCTTGGAGGTGCTGCCCTGTTTCCCCCCCCAGCAGCCCATCACCGTCCAGAAACAAGACCAAAGGAGACATGCTGTGGGCTCTGCAGAGGGATCCTAGACTGTCCTGCCTCTGACTGACTTACCTTGTCGACAGGGTACTGAAGGGCAGGGATCTTCTCCTCCAGTTGGTCCAAGCCCCGGCAAGCGAGGTTGTTAGCCACAGCGACTGCCTTGGGCAAAAGCATGGAGTGGGTTTTAAGAAAAGCTCCCAGGCTGTGCTAGGCACGTGCTAGTGCCAGCGCTGTCCCACCAAGGGAGGCTCTGGTGGGCTCCCCACTGCTGTGTCCCCCCCAGCGCATGGACTCACACTGGGGCTCCAGCCTGCGCACCACGGGCTCCACGCTCCACATGGCCAGGGCGCTGGCACCCTGAATGCCCCGCTCGTAGACCTCGCACACCGAGGCCACGAGTGGGTGGGCCTCCTTGGTGCTGGTGTAGGTCCGCTGGAGGCTTTCACAGGTCGAGCTCACCACCGGCAGCTGCAGGACCCTCTGCAGCACGTTCTCCTGTGCGTGGCAGATGGCCATCGGTTAGCCAACAGCCTTTCCCCGAGGAATGCCCCATCATCTGCACACCGGTGGCACTTGGTGTGTTGCTGCGACCACAGAGGACCTCAGCCCATGCTAGAGGAGGAGGGCATTTCTTGGGCCCCATTGAGGGTCTCCCAGCTACACTGCGTACAGCATGGCCATGAGCAAGCAGTCTGGCTGCTGCCGCTGAAGGAGCAGGGACACTAATGGCATCTTACACGGGGCTGATGATCTCCACTCCCTGCATCTCCCAGGCCCGAATCTCCAGGTGCTCCCTCGTGCTTTCCACCCTGCTCTGCTGCTTCTTCCATCTGAC